CCAAAAAAAAAAAAAAAAAAAAAAATCAGTTTCACCATACGTACCTAACGAATGTTATACTACAGGGTCACAAACTGGAAACAAATGTTCAGGGGTAGGATTTATCAATATATAGAAGAGAGATCACCATGACAAGAGGAAGGGCTCGTCCAAATCGTTGTGAACATTGATGATCAGATTGTCGTTGGTGACGGAATAAATGTTGGGTCCCGGAAATTGTCCGTTTATAAGGATTCCCTGCCGTATAACACATACACACAAATGTTAGTTAACAATATGTATACATATATATATATATATATATGCTGAAAAATGTAATGACGAGAAGAAGAAGAAGAAGAATACACGCTGAGGAAAGCCGAGAGGATAGATGAGGCCGTAGGAGACAGTCCAGTCGAAGAACCTGTAAGGATCTTCAGCATCCACTACCACCACCCTTCCCATGGACATCACCACCACCGCCATCGCCATCACCAACCCGACCTTTACCCAACCCATTCTCTCTCTCTCTCTCTCTCTCTCTCCCAATATGAATATGCGAGTTACGTATTCGTCAGTCTCTAACCCAGCATTGTATTTAAAGGTTCGGTCGGATCGGGATATATGCTCATTCCGTGTTTTGTCTCTCCAGTTACGTGTTCGTCAGAACAAAGGAAAACCAGAATCCAACACACACCACGCCACGCGTTCCCCACCCATTCACCAACTTCATTTATTCATTTTGTTTTAATTGGAAATGTTAATTTATCATTTGGAAACTGTTTGGGTTTTAATTAATCCATCTAAATGAGGAACAATAAGTTGGCACTTCTTATTATTATTATTATTTTTGGTGAAATATGGCACTATTATTTCCTTATACAGATACCAACTAAGATACGAAAATGGTCGAAACCATTCCTTATACAGATAGATATTCTGTATTCTTTCTAAGGTATGATATGTTACAGAAAAAATATACTATAGAAGCGCGTAAAATAAATGTGAGGGTACGGGATTAGAGAGAATGATGCAACATTGGCGAAAATGGACAATTGTGATTACAGATAGGGAAAACGGCACAGCTGCAGCTGCAGCTGGAGCTGGAGCTGTATACCCAACCAACCAGCCAGCCAACCGTGTTTCAGCCGCCTCCCGTGATGGCGCACACGGACTCGCCATGTCTACGGCCCCACCCACCTCCTGCTATCTCTTCGATAAATGGGCTCGAGGTGGTTCACCTGTATTAGGCCCAATTAATACAATTGGGCCTTGTTAAAAGGCCTATTCTTCCCACAAATGAGGAAAGCCTACGCTTTATTTTTCTCTTTTTCTGAGACTTGGGGACCACTTTTTTTTCCTCGAGTTTCAGCCCATATTCAAAGACATTCTGAGTTGGTGTCAGTACAGTAGATGCCCGCGACATCGGAGAGGCGTGACCCTCACGTGCGATCTCAACCGTCCGATGTTCTGGGAGCGCGTGTGTTCCAAATCCATAACTCTCTCCTCCCCCACAGTCCGATGCGTCGCCATAACTTGTGGCGGGGCCTCCTCTTTTCGCTTTTTCTTTGGGTTTCCCCAACACAATCGCAAAATTGAATCGCGTATGGCTGGCTGCCTGGCTCATACGTCATCTGTAACAATAATATTTGATGTGAATGCGATGTTTTCCGCTGAAACGCGAAAGCCGATGCATTCGTTTTTACGTATATTCAGGATTTTTAATAAATGGTTGTTTTTGAAAGCCAAAACAGAACAAGAAAAGTTAGGCGTGAAAGGAGAAAGTGAGTCTGCGTATGAAAAAAGAAACATCCAAACACGGAACAAGCATCTCTCCCTGTTCTCTGCGTCGATTGCTACTTCCAGGATCAGCCCTCGTTGATAAACCACGACAGAAGAAACCCTGATTTCTTCAGCAGCAGAAGATCTTCGCACAAGACAGAGAAATGCATGCGAAGACGGACTCGGAGGGGACGAGCATCGAGGCGGCGTCGTCGTGGGCGCCGCCACGGACGGCGGCGAGGCCTCTCTACTACGTCCAGAGCCCATCCAACCATGACGTCGAGAAGATGTCGTTCGGGTCGGGCTGCAGCCCGATGGCTTCACCCGCCCACCCGCATTTCTACCACTGCTCCCCCATCCACCACTCCCGCGAGTCCTCTACCTCTCGCTTCTCCGACTCCCTCAAGCCCCACCCTCTCTTCCCTTACAAGTCCCTCCGTCTCCGCCTCCACGCCGGAGATCTCTCCGACGACGGCGACTCCGACTCCGACGGCGACGGCTCTCGCAATCTCCGGCTCTATCTCTGTCTGTTCGTCTCGTTCCTTGTCTTGTTCACCCTCTTCTCTCTCATCCTCTGGGGCGCCAGCAAATCCTACCCTCCCAAAGTCATCGTCAAGGTATCATTCCCCCTCTCTCCACTCGCTTGACTCGCTTCGTAGTGCATAAGGTTTGAGGGTTTTTAGTTTCGTGTTTTGCTGAGTCGACTCGCTCCTAGGTCTTGTTCCTCTCCTTGGGCCCACCACCTTTCCCTTCAACGTTCGATTTTCACCTAAAAAGTCTCTTCCCAAAATCTTCGTTCTCTTAGAAAGAATCATAAGTATCACATTTTATAACAAAATTATTGTTTTGACTAACAAAAGTATAAGAATGTATATTTTGCAGCAAAAATTTAAACGTCGTATTATCAACAGATGCTAATTATTACAATGTGACATATATATATATATGTGGGGATATAGGACATATATCCTTTTTTTTCTGTAATTATGTGACCAAAAAGAGGTGGAAAATGGTGAATAGGGGATAGTGTTCGAGAACATGAACGTGCAGGCGGGGAACGACAGAACGGGGGTGACGACGGACATGCTGACTATGAACTCGACGGTCAGATTTCTCTTCCGCAATCCCTCCACCTTCTTCGCCGTCCACGTCACCTCCTCCCCCTTCCTCTTCCACTATTCCCAGCTCACTCTCGCCTCCGGCCAGGTACCTTACCTTTACTCCCATGCACACGTTGAACCTCTAACCAATCAGTAGGCCCCTTTGTTCTTCAACGCATCTTTCCGGATTTACAATTTTGAAATGGCAATGGGCAGATGAAGAAGTTCACGCAGCCGCGTAAGAGCCAGCGGAGCGTGGTGACGGTGGTGCAAGGCCACCAGGTACCTCTGTACGGTGGAATCTCAGTGCTCTCGAGCCAACACGACCATCTGGACAGAGTGTCTCTCCCGCTCAATCTAACAATGGTTCTGCGGTCCAGAGCTTACATTCTGGGTAGGCTGGTCAAGTCCAAGTTCTATACCAAGATCAGATGCCCCCTCACTCTCCACGCTAACAGACTTGGCAAACCCATGCGTCTCCACCCCCACTCCTGCCTTTATTCTCGCTGACTCACCTCTCGCTTCTAGAGCTCTTGCTTCTCCTTTCTCTAGTGCCCGATATCTACATTTCAGATCGATTGGCCGTGGTAATCTGACATTTTCTTTCTTGTTTTGCTTAATGTGGATACGTCCGATTTGAATTCTAAAGGGCCATCTTGGATCTAAAAGTCTCTCCTTTCTTGTCTTCCCTTTGGAAAAAATGCCTTAGAGTTCACTCATCTACGAATGTAGGGTCTGCAACACGTTTATCTGATGGTTGAACGGGGAAAAAGCCTCCAACATAAGACTGTTATTACAGAACACACTGAAACTTAGATAAAACATCACGGAGACTAGCAGCGGAGAATACAAAGGTCCAACTGAAAACGACGAGCACATATGAAGCAAACAAGTGAAACAGCGCAATGGGTGAGGAGAATGAATAATGGCTAAGTCTCCTTCTTATCATCGCCGCTCTTGTGATGCCCAGGAAGCTTCTCCTTGATCTTGTCAATAAGCCCTTTCTGATCCTTATCATTGTCATCATGGTGAGCTTCATGTTCCGCCTTCCCATGGTGTCCTCCTGGAAGCTTCTCCTTGATCTTCTCCATTATACCCTTCTTATCTTCCTTGTCATCAGCCTCTGCCTCTTCTGTTTCTTTGTCATGACCAGACACCTTTTCCTTGATCTTCTCCTTCAGCCCCTTCTTCTTCTTCTCCTTCTTCTCTCCACCTTCACCCTCTTCCTCATCACTTGACTGAGATTTAGCATCGAAGAGAAAGTGTCACCGCATTGGCTAAAATACCACTTATCACCATTTGCGAGATATAAGTAGAAAAGCTTACAGAGCTATCAGAACGGTGGAGCTTTTCAGCAAGAGAAGGCTTCTCTTCGCACCCCTGGTGGGGCTGCGGATGAGGGCACACAGCCTCAGCATCAGTCATGACGTCGGGGTTATCCAGCGGTTTCTCGTCGTGCTTTTTCTTCAGGAAGTCGAACACTCCACACCCTTTTGAAGCGGCCTCCGTCTCTTGCTGATGATGATCCGCCATCGATATCGAAAGGCTAATGACCACAACTTCTCACTTGGAACTACCGATGAATGCTTTTGTGTTTTGTTAAATAGACTTTGATGATTGTTTCAGCACATCGACTCCGTATTTATAGCAGTCATCAAGACTCTATTGATTTTTAGTTTAAGTTAAATTTCGATCCTAACTAGAATCGGTGCACGTTTACCGAAGGTGTTGCCGGGAAATTGTACTATTTATCTCAATTAAATCGTATAATAAAAAATGGCTTATGTTAGTCTGCAGCATGTGCTATTTTTTATACAACCGACACGTCATATATTTTAGAAAATGAAATTTGCGAGTAATTAGATGCATGCGGTTGTCTTCGCTTGTGTTGTAAATGTGTAGTTAAACCGATAAAACTGAGATTTCTGAGTTTGAGTCTCAACTTGAGAAGTAGAGTGTATATTCTAATCATATGGTTTGCTAATGACTCCAAAATTAGTCTAGACATTGGTCTAAAACATTCGGTTGCCCAAAAAAAATATATCGGATGTGGTTTATATTTATATATTTATATTATGGCATATTAACATATTTGTATCATTTATCATTCTCTCTATATATATATATATATATATGCATTCCTTTGTAACACAAATCATGTTAATAAAAAGCAATCTTTATTCTCTTATACAACTTATATCTATCTAACACAGATTTCGTAACAAAAATTACTAAATACATGGGACTCTGTGAGGTACATTACATATACTATATAAAAGAAACCATGGTACATCTTTGTTTTGTGCAATGGCCTGCTGACCTGTCGGCCTCGGTCGAAGGAAAACGAGATGGGGGTCGGTGCAGGGCGGTCCTCTTTAACCGATGCCAACTTGAATTTGCATTTTACACTTCCAATGCCCTAACATGAAATTCAATTCACTGCACCCACCCACCCAATCAGATGTCATCCCTTTAAACCTGATGATGGCAATATGTATTGTAATCACACCGGCCTCCCTCTCTTTTTTTTTTTCTTCTTGTTTTGCAATGAATGATACCCGTCTTACATGTACATATGATGGCTTCGCTATTAGAATGGTGCATGCATGCAAAAATGCGGTAAGACAGAAAAAAAAAAGGCATCTATCGAAAGGGATGTATTACGGGCTGAATCGCGGATTGACTCACAAACAGTCTCATATTTTTTTGAGTCGGGTTCAAAATATTTAAGGCCAGAAAAAATCGGGCCAAACGAATCAGCTCGTAATGAGTCAGGCTGGCTCGCGGATCAGGGAAAAAATATTTTTAAAAAATTTTAATATTTTTATATAATTTAAAATATTTTTATATACAAATTATATTTTTATTACATACTAGGTATTTACCCGCGCGAATTCCGCGAAATAAAAATATATATAGATTTTTAATAAATTTATTATTAATTTTAATTTTAAATATAATATATTTCATTTTTATAGAAATATCGAGATGGAGAGATGATATCTTTTTTTCGATGTATAATATAGAACCATTGTATATCGAAGTAATATTTTATTAAATTTTATAACTATAATTTTTTTGCAAATCGAGTGATGTCTAAAAAAATATAACTATTTAAAGTTTAAAAATATAATTTTAAACAACAATATAAATTTAGTTATCATCTCAATTTGTTTTATGTGATTTTTCACAGTTCGTGACAGATCTATTATCGTCTCATATAATTTAATCCGACGGATATTTCACTTAGAGTATACATTTTAAAATCCGATCCCCTAAATCTCTATTTCAAAATAAAAACACATAGACACCTAACACACTCTTACACATTTTAGTTTTTATATTGCTGTTTTTTATTTATTTTCAAACATAAATAAAAAGATTTTTTGGAATCAATTAAAGAAGCAAAACATTTTCTCCTAATTATAATATTATTATTTCAATACAACAACAATAATAATAATACATAATTAAACTGTCTAAAATGAATATAGATACATGTATAGATATAGAAAGAGAAAGTGATGTTTTTTTGTTCAACCTTGTACTCGTCCCTCTGACCTTTCCCTCTCCTTATTGCGGTCGAACATTATTTAGTCTTATTGGATGAAGAGGAGAATGAAACTTCTCATCAACAATGATATACAGCAAATTCTAATTAATTTTGATAAAAAAATAAATTTAGATGGTGGATCATAAATCATTTAATAAGCTACCGTGATAGAAAATTTTATAATATAATATAATATAATATAATATTTATGCATTCATTACTCAATCAAATTGATTTTAAATAAGATATACTTATTTATATTATATCATTTTAGAAAGAAGAAAACAAAGGTCTATAGAAAGATAGACACATAATTGTGAATCACTATTAGCAATTTAAAAAAATATACATATGTTACACCAAGTATATTTATTCACCAATCTTGATATTGAATTTGGTATAATTAAAATTTAACAAAAATTGAAGTGTTTTTTGTATGATTTTAGTATAATACATATATATTTTTATAGACTAAAGTTAGTATACATTCTCATTATCAATAATTTGGATTCGAACCTCGTACTCATTAATTTTGAGTAACTTTATTAACTTGTTCAATAATATTAAGATGTGAAAACCACATATGATTTGATGATGCAATAGATTTATAATAATGTTATCCGGAGACAACGAAATTCGGTACTCCCGAAAATTGAGTTAACTTTCTAAACTGGTAAATTTGATATATAACCAAAATGTCGGTGCGTAATAAGTGATAACATTTTCCTGTCTTTCAAGGATACCGTATCTCAAAATTGTATAACTACGAAAAGGGTCAAAGTTGTTATGTTTGGTTGGTTTGATTAATTTGTATGTTATATCCATATATAAACTTGACTCAAACGTCACCCCAACACATTTATTATAAAATTATAGAAAAAAATTTCAGATATAAAAATATGATATATTAATATGAATGTAGTAAAACTAAGATAAATAAGTTGTTTAAGTTGGATTAAATAAAATTAGAAAACTTTAATAATATAAAAACATAATTATATTTTTGAAAACATAATTAAATCAATGATAGAATATTGAAATCGCTACATAGATATTTTATCGACTCAATGTAACAGATTTGTTATGGTTGTCTTCAATATTGGTGTGACTTTCCTTCAATGTCTGCAAAAAAGTCAGTTTTAAAGTAATAATAAAATTATTCATGTAAATATTATAAGAATAGATTTTTTTCAAAAATGATATAATTTATTTACCTTAGACAAAAATGTTTGATAATGTTGAGTTTTTCATCTATATAAATCTTTGTAAACGTTGATGTATTTAGCGATAGAACATCTAATACGTAAAATATATTAGTAAACATAATATAACCATGATAATGGTTTTTAAATATTAATCTATCAAATATTTAGAAATTAATTTGTGTTAAATAATTACCGTCGATAATCTTTGGATTTATACCCGTAACGACTATGATATTTTTTCTCATATTCAATCTATGTATTTGTGAACGGAGTTCTGCGGCGAGATCATCCCATACGGAAAGTTTAACGATATTGTTGCTGGTTTTTATATTAAAATTATATGTTAGTATGTATAAAACTAATTAAGTTAAATTTTTTAAAAATGACATTACTTACAATGTAAATAACTTTTAAAACTTACTCTTCTAATAATAAACGGAGAATAAGTTTCTGAGTTGATGGCGACATTCGTAAACTTGATCCTTGTATTGCGACTAAAACTCCAATAACATCTGTAACATTAGCGAATATATTAATTATAAAATCCAATATTTTTTTTGATTTTTTTTATAATATCATATACCTGGTAGATCTTGTTTTTTATCTGCCAATGCCAACAAATCGTCGTATAAACATATTCGAAATTTCTCTTTGGCAATACTATAAGTAGTTATAACAATCTTTTCAACAATAGTATATTCCGTAAAATAAATACGAAATTTATTGTTCGTTAATTTGTATATATTTTTATTTGATAGAATCTTGAAATGTCTGATTAAAAATACATCTCCCTCGTTTATTATACTTTTAAATTTTTCTACATGATTCTAAAATATTTTTCCTTCAACAACATTCTCCTGCATCGATGTAAGTTGAAAAGATTATATTTTTTATAATTATAACATAATAACATAAATGCTAACCAAAACGTACATTTTCATCGATTAATAAGAATTCAACGCCAATCAATCTATTCTCATTGAAAGGATTCCGTTCATCCCAGATCCTTAGAAATCTAGTCATAATACACCGATAATTATGATGTGTACTCATCTGATCCAATCTTATATGGGTTGATATAACTGTGTGCATCTGATTTTTCGATTCCTACAATGGATTTAATTTGATTAATTAGTAGATGAATATTTTGTTTTATATAAATTAATAAAAATTAAACAAAATTAAATGTAAGAGATTTTTTATGGGTGCACCAAATTGCTCCAAATAAAAATATATATATATATATATAGATATAGAGAATAATATCTATATAATCTCTGATTCATTGTTATTAAAGTCAAGTTTTAAAAATAAACTTAATCATATATATAAAAATCAAACATGTTAAAGGTAAATTGACAAATACAAACAATTTTTTTTAACTTCTATATATAAACATATATAATATATATATATAATATAAAAAAATAAATATATGTTTGGGATGGTATTATGTGAATAAAAAATATAATATATATATACGATAATTTCAAAAGCGATTGACACAACTAAATACTAAAAAAACGGGATAAAAAAAATACAATCGAATAACAAACCTAAACGAATCTGAATGAATCTTTGATATCAAGCACATACAAACATAAAAATGATCGTTTTGTTGGATTCGAAGTTTGTATTGTTGATGTGTTTGTTCGGGGGACATTTCCATATTTAATAGTTTGGAATTTCACTAATTAAAGTAATTATTGTTCTAAATAACTGCAACTGGTTTGATAATCGCGGAAAACTCTAATGAAAAACGACAAAAAGTTATGTTTGTTAATATTTAACTATCAAAAGTAAACCTAGAATATTCTAATAATCATATATATATATAAAGCTATGTTAAACTAAAAATAAAAAAATCTAAGAAAACGTAAACACGCGTATTTGTATATATCATATATGTATACACACATCTTATAGAAAACTTAAAAAGTAATATATATATATATATATATATTATTCTACTGTTCATAAATGCATG